TATAAAGAATGTCTTCCTGCTGGTTTTAACATTATGTGCTGTGGGAATGCTAGCAAGAGCAATCGTTCTGTCTTTGCTAACTTCATGTTTTGAGAACCATGGTACCCTAAATGCTGAGATATAGGTTATGAGTTATTGCTGGCTTGAATACTTGATTATGTTTGGTCAGTCACAATGTTCTGTGGGTCAAATTGTTTTTACGACCACTAAAGTGTTATAACTGACCATTTCACAGATTTCCTACAAAGCTATGCTAGTTTAATGTCTATCATGGCATTCAGTTGTCGCTTCTCTTCACATAAAAAATTATTTCAGTTTAATAATAACTAGTGGTTCAATGGATCACAAATCTCACGGTTCGGATCACATTACGGTTTTTGACCCACGGATCGGATCATTTTTCGGATCAGCAAGAAAAGAAAAATATTTCAATTTAACTTGCTTTCCATTTATTACTTAAAGCGAAGTACTTTGATACCACAGCAAATACTACTAGATTAACTAAGAAAGTTTAAACATGATTAAAGAGACAAGAGAACAGCCAGTAAAAATAAGAACAAATACACAAATTACAAGCATAGATAAATACAACAGAATATGTTACAATTAAAATAAGGTTGGTAGTATTCAAATACAGAAATGTAATAATTAGGGAAAATAACACTGCATAGTGTTCACTGTATAAATTGAATATAGATTTTTTTGTCACGTTGTCCCTTTAAGACCTGATGCACGGAATGATACACATCATACACATCACATCAGATTTCTTTCTCAGCTGTTTTCATTCACTTGAGACATAACTGACTTGAATGATTGGAATGATTGTCGAGATGGGTATTCTGTCAATTTTATGTGTGTGTGTTTGTTCAGAGGATTCAGAAGAGGATTCAGTTCGGTGAGTAACTAATCGAGTTCCCTTTCGCCTTTTCTCTCTGGAATTGTTTAAAATTCGCTTGCTTGTGTAAATACGAACAAATGATAAACTTATACTCTATTATGGTTAAAATTTGCAATTAATCCGCGGATCACATGCGTGCCGAACCGTGGGGCTTGGTCCGTACGGATCACGGATCAACTACGATCCGTTTAACCACTACTACGTAGTCCTGTGTTTATTAGTCATGCTGAATTAATGAAAGCAGTTAAATCTTCTGTTTAGTCAGCAATGGCTATAGGGATTTCCTGGGTTTCTCTGGCCTTCGGGTGGAGATTTACTGCTGATCACAGAACCGTGCTTCACTGACAAGATGCACATGACAATCACAGATTCTGCCTAATCGCGATTGCGATTTATTGTCACTGTACAGGGTGGAGTGGGACTCACTCAGCACAGAGACGAAGGCATTGAAGTACTCGACGGTAAGCAGAGGATAGGGCAGCTCCCTGATGAACAGCTTCAGGAGACTGGCTGTGTCGTGCTGTTTGAGACTCTCCCACGGGAACACGCCTTCGTAAAACTTGTGTTCCAGCTCATGACAGACGGCCTGGGAAACAACAGACACATTACAGTAGCGTCCTGATGTGATGATGTTAATCGTGTATGCTAGAATCTGTCTCACCTTCACTCTAGTAGCGGCTCCAGGGATCCGCAGCACACCCTCTGTGTCTAAACCCTGCTCCTCTATATGAGAGATCAACTGGAAACAAACGTTTAATATCTTACTGTGCGTTTTGGAGCTAGTTTAAATCAGCAGATCACATATCATATGTATATTACTACTCAAAAGTTTGCTGTTGGTAAGATTTTTTTTTATGCTTTTGAAAGAAGTCTCACCAAAGCTGCATTTATTTGCTCAAAAATACAGTAAAAACAGTGAAATATTATTAGAATTTAAAACAGCTCTTTTCTATGTAAATATATTGTATTTTTTTTTACAATTTCTGTGATCAAAGCTGTATTTCCAGCATCATTACTGCAGTCTTCAGTGTCACATGATCTTCAGAAATCATTATAATATGCTGATTTGCTGCTCAAGAAACATTTCTGATTATTATCAGTGTTGAATACAGTTGTGCTGCTCAATATTTTTGTGGAAACTGTGACACATTTTATTTTTCAGGATTCTTTGATGAATCGAAAGTTCAAAAGAACAGCATTTATTTGAAAGAGAAATATTTTGTAACATTAAAAATGTCTTTACTCTTGATCAATTTAATGCATCCTTACTGAATAAACAGTATTTTCTTTTAAAAAATGTACTGGCCCTAAAAAGTATTTGATAACATTTTATGGTGTCCTTGTTACATAACAATAAATTATGCATAATTGCATGCAACTAAACCTAAGCCAAACCCTCATCCTAACATCCTAACCATATAGTAAGTACATGTAGTTAATAAATACAGTCAGATTTCTTGTAATGAAGGAGGTTGTGTTTGGTTGCCAGGGTGTTGCTAAAAGGTTACTATAAAGATGTTTCAGTGGTTGTTAAGAGTATTTGAGCACTTTTAGCAAATACCAAAATGTGACCGCTAGGGTTTTCTAGCCCATCTTCAAGTCTCTGACATTCAGGTCTGGACAGTTGTACTATCGGACTTCTTGCACTGAACTCAAAATAATGGTGCCATTACTGCTGGGAAATATAAATGCTTCCAATCTCAAAGGATGACAGGTAGATTTGTAGTAGTTTCCGAGTTAATGCCCCTGGTCTGCGTTACCATCATGTTTGCTTGGTTACAGTTCTAAGTCTCTGCTCTCTTACATGCTGCAGGATAAGAGGCACTTTGGTTCCCGGGATCCTCCGCTGGTCTTGTTCCAGCAGCGTAGAGAGAGAAACACCAAACAAACCCGACTCTACGGAAGACAAAACAATACAGTCACAACCAGCTTCAGATTCAGTGCTCGCATGTTCACACACAATTACATGAATCATCATCAAAACCAATTAAAGATCAGACATGAAAGTGCTCTTTTTATAGTGGGCTTTGTCTCCAGCATGCACATGTGTGAACAAAACGGATGTGAAATGTTTAGCAGTGTGCAAGGAAAACATACAGTGAACTCAAAGGTCTGAGAGCATTTTCAGATCCAGTCTTTTGATTCTGAACACATATCAGAGGCACTGACCTCTCACTTTGACCTTGAGAGCTTTATGAGCCTTCACCTCGATGCCACACGTGTCGAACAGAGCGCTCATCTCGATCAGAACAAGCCTGCGAACCTTCTTCATGTCCTCAGCGGACAGATCGCCTACTCTTGTCTGTCCGGTCTTATCCTGGGACACTTTAAAATCCTGAAAGACGAGAAACAGAATGAGAAAAAAAAATACACGGATGCATTTATAAAATGCTATATGTTGGCTTTATTGTGTGTTTTAGCCGTGCGGTTGCTGAGCGCTGCTGTGATGTTCTGGTCTCTAATTATGCCGTCCCTCCTTTAATGTCAGAATTTTTAGCTGCTTTATCATCCACCAAAAATGGAGCAACTGATTAAAGTTTACTGATACCAAACTTTTAAATGGCAGTGTATTATACTGTAAAAAATGTTTTCTCAGGTAACCAAATATGTACATCATTTAGTTACACATCAAGGGTCAAATCAAATATAAACAGCACATTAAAGTTAAAAGTTACAAATTTTTTTGTGTACGCGCTGTACAGGTCTGGTATAAAGAATGTTTTTGCTCAGGTGGCCGAAATGTCCGCC